TGCTGCCAACACTGCTCCCCCTCCCCCCTCCCCCCATCCCCTTCACCACTATCCCCATCACTCCCGCCCCCTGTGACACCTGTGCCGGCACCTTGCGTCTCCTGACGGTCACTGCCATCACTGGCAGCCCATCACCCCTGCCTCTCCGAGGAAAGTCTGATGAACAGGTGGAGACAACTCGCTCTTTACCGTTCTCTGCCCACCTCCTCCAGCATCGTCAGAAGGCGGGGAGCCCACACACGGAGACCTCATATTCGACACCCCAATCTGGCCAGGACACTGTGCTTGCAACTGGGTGTCTCTGGAAGGAAGCCCTCAGGGTCAGCAGAGGGTAGGGGTGCTCACCCACTCTGGCAGAGCCCTGGGAGGGTGGGGCTTAGCTTACTCCCCCGATCAGTGGCCACAGTGCCCCCTGGGGCACAGCCAGGAGCTGCGTGTGTGACATGGGTGACTGTGCTTGCTCCTCTCTGAACCTGATCACTTCATCTCTAAAATGAGGCTTCTGGCCCTGACTGGTTTGGCTCAGTGGATAGAGCGTCAGCTTTCGGATTGAAAGGTCCCAGGTTCGATTCCGGTCAAGGGCATGTACCTTGGTTGCGGGCACATCCCCAGTAGGAGGTTTGCAGGAGGCAGCTGATCGATGTTTCAGGGGCTCCACCCATCGCTGCCCATGGCTTCGGTGGCAGCAGCACAGGCACCGACCTGGACAGAAAGCAGGGCACTGTCTGGCCGGGACTCGAAGTTGGGGGCCGGGCCGGCCGACAGGCAGACAAAGGTCTGCGGGCAGGGGTGGGGCGGTGGGAACGCTCAGGGTGAAAGCCGCTCTGAGTCCTGGCTGCGTCCGTGGCCGCCATCAGCCGGGCACTGGGTGATTATGAGGAGTAAGGCGGCCGCGGGACAGCGGGAGCCTTGGCGACGGCATTTAAGACGTTTGTCAGAGCCGTGGGACACGGGCTGCCAGGCGCTAATGGCTTCTGCTGGCTGCTGCCAAGTGAGAGGAGGCGGGCGGGCGGAGGTGGCCTGGCTTCTGCCCGGGCCCCGTGCCCACCCCACGCTGCACGGCTGCTCCATGACAGGTAGGGCCCACCTGGGCCTCCCAGAGCTTTGGCGCCAGCGGGGAGGGCGTCACACATGGCCAACTATTTGGGGGCATCTCTGCCACCTCCCCCTCCTTCTCTGACCCTCTGCCCTGGGACGGGGGGTGTGGGAGTCTGTTCTCTAAAGAGCCATTTCCCAGGGAAGGGACCCCTGAATCCTCGCTGCTAAGGCCCCTGGGTCAGCTTTGGGTGGGATAGAACCTTCTAGTGATGGACGTGCAGGGGACTCAGACCTGTCCTGACTGGTGCTTTCATCTCTACTGGCCTCGGCACCTGTTTTGACCTCAGTGCATCACAAGAGAAGAGATCTCACTTATGTTATTTATCAGTAGAACCACCGTGCCCAGGGGGACGGCTGCATCAGTGAGAAAACAGAACCCTGGTGTGCTGGCCATGTGGGCTCATCAGGGAGGGTCACTGAGTCAGGTGCCACCCAGGGGTCAGGTGTGGGCCCTGGGGCTGCCTGAAGAGCACACTGCAAGGGAGGCCAGGCCTTGCCCGGGAGACACGCTCAGCCAGGTGCCCGGGCGGGGCTTTGGGCAACGTGCTCCTGCTCCGGGAAGTGCACTGGGGAACTGGCCCCAGCCCAGGTCACGCAGACCTGCTGTCACAGGCCATCCCGAGCCTCCCTCCTGCCCAGCCTGTTCATTCATCCCTAGAGCGGCCCCTACAAAGCGGGCCCCATCCCCAACCCATTTTGCAGATGAGGAAACTGAGGCTCAGGTGGTTACTCAGCTTGTAGTCACAGCTCTGAGGGCGGGCGGGGGGTTGTCCCTGGGCCCCCCTGTGATCATGAGCCCTTTCTGAGGAGGAAGTGGGCCGTTGGCTGGCTGTGGAGCAGAGAGCAGGGGAAGGGGGAACTCCAAGGGGCTGGGAGAAGGACGCAGCGGGCAGGAGACCTGGGTGGGCCTGAGCGAAACCTCAGCTTTACCGCGTGACCTTGCACTTGTCGTCCTAGTGACCTTGGAGTGCTTGCTCCTTTCCTGGAGCACAGGCTGATCCCCTCGGAGGCAGCAGAGGTCCCAGAAGGGGTGGGTAGCCGCCCGCCTGGCAAGGTCACCCAGCGAGCTCCCCCTCCACCTGTGCTCCCCGGGCTCTGCCTGGGACCCTGATGGCGTCAGAGCTGGGTCTGGGGCGCAGCTGTGGGTGTGCATTCATCGGTGTGGAGCGTACTGGCCCCTGCGGGGCAGCTGCGCTTGGCTCTGCCTGGATCCAAGACTGCTGCCCGAGATGAGGGCCTGGAGGGGTGGACGGTCAGGGCAGGCCCATCCCGCGGAAGAGCAGACCCTCGTCCTGGGCTGGGTGGGTGGGGGGGCCCCAGGGCCATCCTTCCACGCCCGCCCAAGCACGCAGAACTCCGAGAGCATCCTCCTCTCACGTGGGCGGTGGCAAACCAAAGCTCGGCAGGAGGTGGGGCTCCCCTAGGGCGGGTGTGAGCAGTGGGTCTGCTTCCCTCCCCTGAGCCACAGAGCCAGGTCTCTCTGGGGCCCTAGTGCTGGCCCAGCCTCAGCCCCCATGGTCCTCCAGGCCCTGATCCTCAGCCCCCATGGTCCTCCAGGCCCCTGATCCTCAGCCCCCATGGTCCTCCAGGCCCCTGATCCTCAGCCCCCAAGGTCCTCCAGGCCCCTGATCCTCAGCCCACTGCTCTGCTTGTCTAGGCCTGCTGGCCCATCGCAGGGCAGGCTCTGGCCATGGGGGCTCTCCCTCCCCAGCACGCAGGAGCCCGGTGTCCTCAGAGATCCCCATAGGAAAGGGGAGTCGGAGGGACCCTGCGATGGAGGCCTCTTAGCCACTAGTGCGGGGGGACAGCCAGGCAGGACTGGTGGGATCTTCAGCTGTAGAAGGGGGTGGGTGAGGAGGCCTCCTCCCTCTGACTTTGCAGTCCTGGGGGTGGAGGGCTTGGAGTTAGAGAAGGAGGTTGCGTGTGCATTCGCATTTGAATGTGGACTCATGTACACACATGAGCGCGAGAACACATTGCAGGCATGAGAAATCACATGCATGAGAACAGGCGGTCACATGTGTGCATGGACATGCTTGCTGACACGTGCTCAGACGCACTCCAGATGGGGGGTGGGTCCTCACCTACGTGTCCTGAACTCACCTCCTCAGGCCCAGGCGGCTGGGGAGGGGTGCTCGCTGGGCCTCGGGTCCGGGACCCGCAGCCCCGACCACCTGCCCACGCAGGCCTGGCCCAGTGGCCTCTGGTGGCACCGCCTGCCTCCTTTCCGCCTCGTGGTCCCCTCCTCAAACGAGCCCTCAGTTTGTTCGTGGTTCAGCTCCCTCCCAGCCCTCCCTCTGCAGGCCGCCCCTTGTTGTGTGTTATCTCACCCAATTACACCAGACGACGGAGTAAATGGAAAGGTGACCCGGGCCCCTCTTCTTCTTTCTTCTTTTTTTTTTTTTAAATCCTCACCCGAGGATATTTTTTCCATTGATTTTTTTATTTTTTTTTTAGAGAGAGTGGGAGGGGGAGAGAGAAAGAGAGAGGGACATCAATATGAGAGAGACACATCGATGGGTTGCTTCCTGCATGTGCCCCAATCAGGGCCGGGGACCGAACCTGCAACCGAAGTACATGCCCTCGACCGGGAATTGTACCCGCGACCCTTCGGTGCGAGGGATAACACTCCAACCCCTGAGCCAAGCCAGCCAGGGCCCCTCTCCTCTCAACAAACATGTTCACGGCCTGTGCTGCCTGCAGGGACGCAAGATGAATCAGACCCGGCCCCCCTCACAGTGCAGGGAGGGGCTTCCACTCTCCTCCATGCTCATCCCCCACCCACCCCGCAGCCGCAGTACAGCCAATGCCAAGCTACACACGCACTTGGGCCCAGGACATCTGTGCACTGGTCCCCCCGAACTGCCCACAGGCGCCTTCAGAGTGGCAGGGATCACCCCTGGGGGCCCACAGTCCCCATGTGACCAAACACAACCTTGGGGGCGAGGCTGGTGCTGCCGGCCGCGTTCCAGAAGAGACTCAGAACACGCAGCTGAGCACCCAGACCTGGCGGGAGGAGGACCCGGGGCCCACGCCTCGGTCTGTCCAGCTGCTGAGCCCCGGCCTGCAGCCCTGCGACTGGGATCGGCCGCACCCGTGTGACCAGCGAGCCCAGTGCTGCCAGCAGCTCCTGCCGGTCACCCCTGGCGAAGGGCAGCTGGGCCTCCGAGGCCTGGGAGGAGGGACACTCTCAGAACTGGAGCCTAGTGCCAGCTCCCCAGCCCTGCTCCTAGTCACGTCTCGTCTCTGATCAGAGCACAGAGACTGGCTCTCCCTTTTCCCTTTGGCCACCAGGAGGCTCAGGGCCAACCTGGAGACTCAACTGGACCTGGTCCTGAGGTGGCGTGCCCTGGCTCTTTTGTCTCATCCTATTGTTCACAGTCTATGTTGCCGGGAGCCGGTCCATCCTTGCTGTTTCAAGGGACCTGGCATATATGGCATACTGTTCTTAATATGTTTGCTCACCTTCTTGGCGCTATGTGTTTTAACCAAGGTCACCTCTTCGAGAAAGGTTGTTTCCCCAGGTAGAGATTTTCCCCTGAAGTTAGGGAGGGAATAAAACCT